GTCTCCTTTATTATATATATGTACACCTCCAGGGCAGCTCCACACCATAGGCTAAACAAGGCAGCACAGAGAAAAATCCTTCACTGATGAAAACAACCTTTTCATGTTCTCTGGGATCTAAAAAACCCCAAAAGTTACTTTAAAAGTCGTCTGCTTGAAGTGCAAGGACAGTAACAATGGAACAGCTGATGCCTAAGAGCTGGTTCCCCCCACCCCATACAGATACTTACTCCCTTTTCATCAAGGGATAAACCATCTCCAATTACTGGAGGCTAACATGTTATTCAAGGATAAATGTGTGCAGGCTCTTGTCCCACAATAAAAGGAAGGCAATTCAAGTAGCTTACGTCTGATTCTCATTATATGAATGTTTTTAAAAGCTGTATTCTATCTTGATGTGAGATACGGCTTTCATTCCTCGCTCAGCTATTAAGGCAAAGGAGAGGAGTCTGTCCCCCCTTTATTTTCACCTCCCAACACCCATGTCACTGGAACAGGGGGAAAAAAGAAGACACTCGCGCTGAATTTCACCAACACTTATTTAAAGCAACTGGAAATGCTCCCAAAAAGTACAAGAAATATGTGAAGTCTAATTGCCATTACTTGAAAAAAACTCCCGAATTTAATTCTCCTTTTGTACCTTTATGCTTGTTTCCTCTGAAGTTTTCTTGAAAAATGGTAAAAATCCATACAAAATACAGGTATATCTATTGAGATTTACAAAACAGTCAACACAACAAAAGGAAAAAAAGGAGGTTGCTTATTGATAAAAATTAGCTTACAGTGTTTTTACTCAGCAATCCTGTGTACTTCATGTTCATGGTTTTGGCAGCAGGATTAGAGTTCACTTTGGTTCAGATTTGGGTATACAATACAACTGAAGGCTGGCACATAAAACCTATGCAGCAAGCATCTGCCAACTGTGCAGACAATCATAAATCTGGCATTTCCTGATTTTTCAATACTTTAACCTCACAATTCAAACAGCACTGGGTGGGATCCAATTTGCCTAATTTGGCTGAAATTGTAAGCAGTTGGGCCCAAGGGACTAATGCAGTAGCACCACGTAAATGCTCCACTTAATGGAGAAAAAGAGAAGAGACCTCTGAAGACCTGTCACCCACTACCTTTGACTCCTTCCAAACAGATCAGTAAAAAAAACAAAACAAAACAACGCAATTTAGCACCAGTCTGTTGATCAGAGTTCTCAAAGCTCTCAACTGGAATGTAAAATGACATGTCTTGAACAGACAACTCCTCCGGTCAAGAGGAATGACCTAAGCATCAGACTCTACCCCCATCTCAAGTCTCAAAGCTGAAGCAGAGCCTGAAACACAAGATGCTCTGATTTACTGCATGATATCAGTATTACTATGACTAATTCTGATGTTACAAACCAGTTCCATGGTCTGCGTCCCGTGTCCATGTGTTGTCCATTGCCGCCTCCTCCCCCCTCCCAATTTAATCCTTTGCTGTACAGATTGCAAACCAGGGGCACTCTGGTTTTGTACTTCCAATTAGAACAGCTTACGCCCACTGCAGATGGCAGAATTACCGCCACTGATTACAAACGGCTGTACGTCAAACTACAAACAGTTCTGGTCATAGGTTCTTGATTTGTTCAACTCTTGAAAATAAAGAATATCCAAACCAAAGAAAGGTCAGAGCACCTTTAAAATATTCAAAAGGTGGGGACGAAGGGAAAGAAAATAAAAAATATTTCCCATGGTAAGGCCAAGATGAGAAGATGTGAATGCTTACACCAATTTATACAGGGCAATGCACTCATTGAAGTGAATGGGAGCAGTCATGCATGTCAAGTTACAAACGTGTGCCAGTTTTCAGTTTAACAGCCTGATAATTGTGGTTTGGGTTAGCTGTATGAATAAACTGTGTCTGTTGACAGCGATTAAGGTAACATCTTGTTATCTTTACAAATGTTCTGTGCTTTTCTGGAAGATGAGGATCACTTGAGGATTCAGTCTCTATTCAAACTTTCAGCTTCTTTTTCAACAATACTGCTGCTCTGCAACTCAAATTCAAGAAAAATAATTACATTTTCTAAAATCAATGAACAGTGCATGGGTGACAGAGGTCACTGTATTTCTATTCCTTCTCCATGAACTTTCTAATTTGATGTTGTACATTTTTAATAAGTCAGACAACATGTGTTTAGATGTTGTCAAATTAGTAATAGGTTCTCAGCCTGATCTTGAAATGCAAGATTTAGTCACGGGCAACATCTGGTCCTCAAAATCTTTTTTTTTCATTTATCACATGAGACAGAAATGTATTTGACTTTCACATCTACACAAGCCAATTTGATTACAGAAGTGTTATTTTGTTGGGATTTTTAAAAATTCTGTAACTGGGTCCTATGTTCATTATCTCCAAGAGTTATTTCTGTGCAGAAAGCTCAAGTTACCTATGATTTATGCATGTATGACTTATGTATTTTCTGTTGTTCTTGCCTATATATAACATGATGTGTCTGACCGAGAGCTTTGGTTAGCAAAAGAGGATGTTAAAATGTTGCAGGAATGACGAGAGGAACAGAATGTGAAAAATCATCTTTCTTTGTTCTTCCACATCCCTCTCTGTTGTAGGTCTGTTCTGTGATGCAGTGTTACTGCTCAAATTCTTTTCCTGCCTTATTTTCATAAGTCAGTGGGGTTGCCTTAACACTTCACCAGATAAAAGTAATTATCCTAATTTATTCAAGAGGCCAAGTGAGACTTATGGAGCAAACCAGAACCTTGGACAGAGAATGAAGGCTCTGGAAAGTTGTGCACCTCATTTCCATTACAAAGGAGACCCAAATAACTTGCAGCACCCTAGAACAAAGAACAGTAACTTCTGAAGAACTGGATTTAGCAATACCTCATGAGAAGGTGAAGAGGAAAAAAAATGGTATGGTGTGCTGAGCAAGGAGACAAGAATCTCTGATTTTCATTTTATAGTAGAACTAGGACTCAGGGCATTGTGAGATACATGCAGCTGACATATCTGTGCATCAGTTCCTGACAACCTTCATAAACTTTCTTGTTATTCTGAGCCATTTGTATCTGTTTCTAATGATTTCCCCAAATTTAATAAAAAAGTGTTTCTCAGAAAATGCTAAAAGATATTCCTCTGGCATTTTAAATTCCTTCCTTGAAATAAATTGTTCTCTGTGGCACAAATGAGAGGACACAGTCTTCCCAGCTGTTGAACAGGTAAATGATGGAGTTCAGGAAATATTTTGGAGCTCATCACCCACTTTTGTATCACAGGAAACACAAATCTATTTTTAAAGCCAGTATGAAGAAAGTTACTTGCTGCTAAATTAAAAAGGAAAGTGATTTTATTGTTTCTACAAGAACGCCTGGCAGTACTAAAAAAATCACCAAAATCCAGACATTTTTACGCTGAAACAGACATATCACAGTTCAGTTAAGCTAAAATGCTACGTCCAGATAAGCACTGCACTAGAATTGTCTTCTCAGAAGTCAACTCCATCATATGTCAATACAAAAATTTCATCACACATTAAAAAAAGTCAGTCATTCACCTAAGGCAGGAATATGTGTATGTGTGTGTGTGTACAATAAAGGATACAAGACATTTAAGAAATGAGTACGAGCATGTTAAGTTTATATTTTGCTTTCAGATGAAGCACTGGACATAAGGGAGGATTATGTTTTCCTCTTTTAGAAACTTAAAAAGAAAATTTAATCAGAGTTACTGTTTCCTGGTTCCTCATCTGCAAACATGTCTGTTCATAAGGGCTGAAGAGTGCCATGCTTTGGACCAGCTCCAGTTATATCCTAATTTTAGGGGATGTTGCTCAAGAATTCTGGTATGCCCCAAGCAAGCAACCTAAAATCAGGGTATTTCTGAATGTTGCAGAGACACAACAAAAAGAACAATAGTGCATGGCAATAGTTTTCTTTGGTAAAAGCCTTTGGGATTTGAGTAACATTATCATCATCGTTGTTCCTCAGACACAAGAAAATGCGTCAGGTTAAAAAAAAAAAAATAACCTCTTTTCCAGACAAAACTCCAGAGCGTTCATGGTGTAGTTCTTGAGCTCTGCCGTTTCAGCTGACTTCGCAAGTCCTTTCACCCTGTCTCTCGTTCCTTTCTTATTCCACCTCTATTATGACAATACTCCATAAAATGACTCCTTTAAATAATCCACATTAAAACTAATCCTCTGTATAGCAGTATAAAGTATTGCTTAAAACTGTGACATAAAAACATATCTGGTTCACCAACTTGTCACCATTAGTAACACCAACTGTTTGTTATGCGTTAACATTATTTTAGTGTATGAACATAGACAATGTCCCTCCCAGACACTGGTAAAGGCCCACCTAACATGTAGCAAATAAGTAACTTCAGCTTTGAATTTTCACAGATGCACGGATTCTTATACTTGGGGTATTCTACAACCATTCTAGTCCAGATATCCTCTAAAAGATATCGTCATGAAGTTTAACTTTGAGCTTACAGTCTAAAAAGCGGCTTAAATTATTTAAGTGAACAAAATGAAGATTTAGGTGCTTAATTTATAGGAACTTTTACTATGCAGTTTTACTAATCAGTAAGAGATATTCAAATCAAGAAACTAACCTAACAGTATGAATGGAAAAAACATTCCATGGTTGTAGTGAAACTGCCCATTTATTTGCAGTTGCAAAAATAAAGAAATTCAATAATTTAATAAGGTGTGAGATAACTATAAAAAGCCAGATGAACAACAGTAAATTTTATCCAAATTACGAAGACAACTGCAGAATTATCCTGTCTTTGGAAAATATTCCCCACCACTTCTCACAGAGAAAGATGCGATGGGCTTCATGCCCTTTCTGATTTATATATGCAACGTCAAATCTTATCAATTTCTGGTTCTGTAGTAATGTTATCCACATAAACAGATTCAGAATTTTTCACATTCAGCAAAATCAGCAAAAATTCAACAAATTGAGCAAAAGAAAAAGTAGTAGAACTGAACATACCTGCTGATAGAAAAAATTTAGAGTTGGTTTGTCCTCAGTGAACTGGTTTAGAAATCCTTTTGGCAAATATCGAATTCTCAATTCATATCTGAAGAGCAAGAAAAAGAGACTTAAACCCATGAGACAAAAATAGTAATTGAGATTTCCTCACAAATAAAAGCTGTCTTCAAACATTCTTAAAAATAAGGATAAAATCAAAACAAACTCAGAAAACTAAGGGAAAATTTCCTCTTTTGACTACTTAGAGAACTAATCTGGAATGTCATAGCCTGGTGTTTCACAAAGATGTTTACAAAGGACCTTTGTAATAGAAGCAAACCTAAACCCCTGCTGTCTTCTCAAAGCTTCAGTGAGGACTGAAACATCAAGATGTGGAGCAGATAAGCTATCAGGTCCAGATCCATGGGAAGGGAGGCCCCAGTTAGGTGACAACACCAGATGAGCTACCATAACCACTGGCATGACCCCGTGGCAACAGCTTCTATCTTTGGTTATCACAAGCATGGTACTTAAAACACAATCCCACTGCTCCAAGAGTGGCAACCATTGTTGCTTACAAGGGAGCCACATCCCACAGACAAAACAAGGGCTTACTCAAGGAGCATGACTCCCCTCCTTCTCTCAACAAGTAATGTAATATTCACCTCTGACATGTTCCATAGGTTTCCTACTTATTTGTCATCAAGATGCATGCAAAAGCTGAATGAACTAGTTTTCAACATGACAGTCGTATTTTTCAAGTTAATAGTACACCAGAGAGTGAAGGAGATTCAGAATTAGCTTTGATCCATGACCTCTACCCAATCTGTACCACTTCTCAAACTCTAAACTTTTGATTCCAATACCTAATTTTAGTATTATCGCTTGTCATGCGGTAACAGCCCATGATGTCTGACACACACTGCATGCTTTCTCTCTCTAACATATTTCTGCAATAAATTTCTGATACTAAATGTCCTCATCACTTTGGGTGTGCTAACACAGCATATCCTAAGAATAAAACTTTTTACAGCCCTTCCACAAAACAACTATATTTAACCATCTACTCATAATGGCAAGAGCAAACATCGTAACATTTCAATCTGTTGGTTTCAGCAGGACAAGAACTTGTTTTCAGTAAGTGATTTACAAGGGGATTTGATAAAAAGTTACTAGGAATTACTTTCACTTAGGATTCCACTGCAAATAGAAGTTACACTATTCTTCTTCACTTTGAAATCACTTGAAAATATAGTCCTGTTAGCAATCATTAAAATAAGGAAAACATTTAGAAGCTGCAAACACATGAACACACTACAAAAAACTAGGAATACTTAGAATGAAGCTTTTTCATAGTGTGACAAGATTATTTCATAAAGAAAAATGCACACTTATTCTTCATGTGCACAGAAAACATGTTGTTAAAGTAAAAGGAGTCTTCAGACTACAGGATGTACCAGAAAGGTGTACCTGAAAGAGAAGAGATTTAGATTGCACATAAGGAAGAAATTTGTTAGGATGAGGTTGGTGAGGCACTGGCACTGGGTGCCCAGAGAAGCTTTGGCTGCCCCCTCCCTGGAAGGGTTCAAGGCCAGGTTGGACGGGGATTTGAGCAACCTGGGCTGGGGGAAGGGGGCCCTGCCCATGGCAGGGGGCTTGGACGAGATGATCCTTAAAGCTACTTCCCAACTCAAAACATTCTATGATACAATGATACAGCTATAAACAAAACAAAACAAAACAAACAAACAAAATATCAAAGTCGCAGTTAAGACAAAGTCTCTAATTGAGAAGGCACCCACCTTCTATTGCTGATCAGTGTTTACATATCAGCATTTACATTTCATGATACATAGCAGATATCTAGTTACTCGCTAAAATTTTAGATACAAGACAAATTGTACCTGAAGGTGTTTCAGTGCTAGGGACATAAAGCAGTGCAAGCATGCTGTCCAGAAGCAGAAAAGCAGAGTCTCCCCTACCATCTGCTTCTGCCATATCGCCTCAAATCTACCACTGAACACCACTGCAGAGAATGATATGGAATAAAAAACTCTATGTAAAAAATCACTTGTTTACACTTTTTTTGGCTCCATAACCCAGTGCATTTCACTTGTCTTTCTACATTTTAAGATTAAAACCAACACTGTTGGTCTGAAAACTGTCCTTATCAATTTCTCATTGTTTTCCAGCTGCATTTTCTTCTGCTATTCTCTACTCATCCTTTACCTGTTTCTATTTGAATTCCTGACCCTGGCAGCAGGTTTCCACAACACCTTTCAAGCCTCGCTGCATGAAACAGCAACCAGGATAAAGGGTATTCAAAAGCGAAGATCCAACCTCTGAGCAAAGAAAAGTTGACTGACCTGATACTTGAAGGTGACTAGGGGTAACTGGTTATCTGTATCGCAGTATCTCCCAGTTAACTGAAACACAATTTCATCCTTCCCATTGAAACCTTACTTTGTCAGATTACCGTGTGTTCATATAAAATATGGCACCTTTTTTATTACTGTCCTGATTAATCTTTGTGAGGGACTGGCAAACACATAGCAAACGCTGACGTGCAACCCAGGGGTATTAGCATGGCACAAGAGAGTTTATAAATCGGGACACTGAAGCCAGCTAAGGAAAATTCAGAATCTTGCAAACTAACACTGGCCACTTTTCTTGGGCACAAAGCTACAGCTTTGCCTGAAAAGATTTCTACATACTTGGTTTGTGTACAAGACAGAATACCAGCACATAGCACTTCGCGGTGACAATTAATGGACAACGTATTTTCAGTGATTTCAAGGCAAAGAAGAGTAAGTTAGTAAGCATACCTGTCCTAAGGAGCTGTATTGGGTGCCCAGGCACAGGCATGTGGGGCTGCCGGGCGGTCTGTGTGGGGAGAGGCCGGGGCTGCCCCGGGCCGGTCCCAGCCGGTCCCAGCCGGTCCCAGCCGGCTCCAACGGCCCCAGCGCAGGACACAGCTGAGCCCCTCAGCCAAGCTGGGGGCGCCGGGGGGAAAACAGGTTTCAGCAAGGGCCAAAGGCGGCCCAGGCAGAGGAGGAGGAAGAAGCCAAGGAGGGAGCAGCAGCAGAGGGACCCCGAGGCCGGAGGAGGAGGAGGGCAGGAGGGGCTGCAGGCCCGGAGCAGGGATCCCCTGCAGCCCTGGAGAGACCCCGCTGGAGCAGAGACCCACCCTGCAGCCCGGGGAGGGCCCCACGCCACAGCGCAGCGGGGGGATATTTCCTGCAGGAGCTGCGGCCGTGGAGAGCCCAGGCGGGAGCAGGTTGTCCCTGAAGGACTGCAGCCCGGGGAAGGGCCCGCGCTGGAGCAGGGAGCCGGGGGGGGAGGGAGGAGCGGCCCAGAGGGGCTGGGATGGGCTGGCCGCGACCCCCGGCCCCTGCGCCCCGCGGGGCAGAGGAGTCGGGAGGGGTGAAGGGTGAAGCAGGGCCTGGGGAAAAGGGGAAAGGGAAGGTGTTTTTTTAATGTCTGTCTTTGTTTCTCAGTACCTCAATCTATTTTAATTGGCAATAAATGTAATCTTTCTGAATTTGAGTCTCTTTTGCCTGTGACCATACTTGGCAAGTTATCAGTCTTCAGTCTTGCTGCAAAAGTTTTCTCATCCTATTTTCTCCCTCTGTCCTGTTGAGGAGGGGGAGTAAGAGATGGGCTGGGTGGAGTCTGGCAGCCAGCAAAGGTCAACCCACCACAGGGGTATCAAGTGCCTGACCAAGGGGACCTTCTAAATCCTGGAAGTGTTACGATTCAAAGCATGTGCTTCAGACATCTTATTTAATAATAGATACCAAAAATGGGGTTGAATTTTCACACTATACAAATCATTTGGTCTCTGAATGTACTAAACAAACATTGCTTAAATACTGGTAGTCACTCCACACTACCCCTTTTCCCATTTTTCAGTCATCCTACAAGCCAAAAACCAAAGACCATTCAGGTCTGAAGAAATGCGTGTGGAATTGATCTCAGACCTTCCACAACATACATCAGTTGCTGCGATCTAGACCAGGCTACTCAAATACTGTGTTCAGTTTTGGGACCCTCACTACAAGAAAGACAATTGAAATGCTGGAGTGCATCCGAAAAAGAGCAGCGAAGTTGGTGGATGGTGTAGAGCACTCCTCTTATGAGGAGTGGCTGAGGGAACTGGGGTTGTTTAGTCTGGAGAAAATAAGGCTCAGGAAGGACCTTATCGCTCTCTACAAATACCTGAAAGGAGGTTGTAACAAGGTGAGGCTCAGTCTCTTCTCCCAAGTAACAAGAGATAGGACAAGAGGAAACTGACTCAAGTTGCACCAGGGGAGGTTTAGATTGGTTATCAGGAAAATTTCTTCATTGAAAGGGCTAACACCACTGGAACAGGCTGCCCAGGAAAGCGGTTGAGTCACCATCCCTGGAAGAATTTAAAAGATGTGTAGATGTGGAGCTTAGAGACATGGTTTAGTGGTGGACTTGGCAGTGTTAGGTTAACAGTTGGACTCAATGATCTTAAGGGTCTTTTCCAACCTAAATGATTCTATGATTCAAGGGTGTAGAACACTTTTACTCTCTGGGATAAAAAAAAAATATGGGAGAAACAATCTTTCCCCTTTACAGGGACTTGTCTTCTCAGCTGAGGAGCCATGAGAAGTACTGCTTTTTGCAACAGGATCTCATGAGAAAATCAGGTAAGGCAAAACAGCTTGGCTGGGACATTCATCGAGAGTGACCTTCATTACCTATTTATAACCTAATCTCTGACTATGCCAATGGGAATGAAGAAACTGACTTTCCAAAGTCGAACTCAAGGATGGGCTTGATTGTCAATATCCTCTAAATCTACTGTCTTTGAAATGCAGTCAACCAATGAGGACGATAAGCTCCTTTCTCAGAAACCAGGTCTGCTTTCTGAGCAAGTCTCCCAGCTGATGATCACCTCCCTTATGTTTGACACAACTATTACTGGATGACTACTATTCTACTTAGTGCTCTGCATCTATACTGGGGCACAGAAGCGCTCTGACACACACTATGGGCTTCCACTCAGACCTGCACAGAGGTGGCTATCAACAGTTAGTAAGTTATACGGCAAAGTGACCTGTCCACAGCACAGCATGTACTCTTGAGCAGTTCTAGGAGCTTTGAGTAGCAGCACTAATTGGGCAGTTGATGGAGCCAAAAAAGGATGATCCAACTCTTAATATGTTGTGGCACTGGAAGAAATAACCTCACCAGTCCCAACCACATAGGTTGCTTCCAGCCAGTTCCAATTCAGTTCACATCAGCAGAAAAGTAACCAAAACGAAGATGGGAACAAAAGGGGCAGACAAAGGAGGAGCCTTGTGTGAATTTAATGAACTGTATCAGCTTGCTGAAGGATTAGACAAGCATTAAGGCTCACAGAAGAAAAGGACTGGATAACTGGAAGCAAGAGAGGGGAGAAGACAGGCTGAGAAAAGGAGAGGTACAGAGCTGATAGATCAACTAAGTCAATTCAATAAATCATTCCACAGGTGTTCTGGCCTTTGTGTCAGTGCCAAGGCATCTGTATTGAAGCTTTTTAAATTTATAGTACAGAACTGCTAAGCACAGGGGTTTCCTTTGGGGCATTTTCTACCTGTCAGAGCCGAAGCACAAATGTCACCTGGTTACAAGGATCTGTTTTACCTACAAACCTTAAACATAGAACTGGAAGGTGTCTACCCTGTGGGGAACACAGTGTGTTCTAAGACACACAATTTGTTACTTGAACCTCTTGATATTTCCCTTGTGGGACAAAAGAGACAATCAAATGGAACAGTGCTTTGGCACATACCACTTCTAGAGACAGAAAGGATAGCTGCTGTGACTGCTGCTTAAAGCTCAGTATTATAGTAAATTACGAGGGGTGATGCTACCTATGATTTCAGAGTCCCTTATCGTGCTAATCCTAGTTCACCTAGCTGTACAGAGGTAAAGATGAAGGTTAAGGGAGGAAGGCTCTTTCACCTTTCTCCTTCATGCCCTTGGAATCATTCCATCACTAAAATAATAATAATGCTACCAGTGAAGAGGAATTTCTTCATTAAAAAGTGAGTTTAGCACTTGCCTTGCTAGCATAAACACTGAGGAAACCTGAAGCAAACAAATCCACTCCAGTCTTTACTGCCTTCCCATAAAAAAGCCCAGGGATTTTGTTTGTTTGTACTTCACTTGTTATCTGGGATCATCTTACATGCACAGGTATACAGGCCTTCACCAAAGCAAATGCTTAAGAAACAATTAAGGATTTATGCTACTGTATGATAAACCTAACAGCAGCAATGTCACGGGAATTCAGTAATGAACAGAACTCTCAGACTGCAGTTGGAAGACTAGTTATTCTAAAGCAATTGCATGGAATTACACTCAAATTATACAATGCTTCCGTGGTGCTAAATCTTGCATAACTCAGAGAAATAAGACTGCATTACCCAATGTGACATGAAATGCAGCAGACTCCAGAATACTTACTTCCTGAACAAACTACTACAAACAAATAAACAAGCAGTTCCAATAATTATAATTGATCATTTCTGGCACCATGATTTAGACACATTTGGAATTTTTCAATGCTAGATGGAATTATCTTCATTGCCAAAGAATAAAATGAAATGGAAAAAGGGTATTTCGTTTGATACAGTTAGCTAACATGAAAATTCTTAAAGTAAACATACAGTGAAGATGCAGAAACAGTCAGTAAGAGGGTTCTATCTGACCTCTAGTGCCAATTTGTCTTTCTTGTAGGAAAAAATGAAGTCTTTGCTGATTTTTATTTAAAGCAAACAAACAAACAAACCAACCTGCCACAAGATAATTCAAACCATCACCATTTAGTGAAAAATAGAAACCTTTTTATATCAAGAAGAAGGTCAGAGTACTATATAAAAGGAAACATGAGGAAAAAGACTTCCAGTAAGCAATGATTTCTTGTTCGTCTTCTGCAATATAATTGAGGTTATACACTGACAGTTTGGCAGAGCTCAATTGTGTGTGCTCCTGCAAGTGAACTGTTTGCCATAGGAAGAGGGAAGAAAATTTGAAGTGACAGAATTTTGCATGACCATGCCTTAAAGTCCACTATTATTTACTCTTCCTACAGCTAAGTCACCTGAAGCAGAGTCATATCCCTGTTTTGCCCCTTCATTAGCTCATCCTCTGCTGGATTATAAATAGTACAGCATCAACAAAAGCTGAGTATATGGGACATGGATTTTATTCTGGTAACTTGTGTACAACCAAATGACAATCAGTGTAACTTCTAGTATCTGGATTAGTCCAGGAGAATGTCTTAGATCTAATTTCTGAACACTGTGAATAAACAGCCCTTTTAATTTAGATGATTTAAATAAATAAGTAAATAACTAACTAAATAACTTGCATGAGAGGCAGTTACTGGTTTACTAACAGTATAGGAAGCTTTTAATTTAAGAACCATTCCAAGACTTCTCTCCCTTTACTAATCTAAATATTTTTACAAGTACTGTCATATGATCTTAAACATTCTGCATTATGGTATTACAGATATGACAGCAGCATTTTGATTATGCACAGCAAATCTCTATGGGTTTAAAAGGTATGTGAGGCTGCATGTATTTGATAAAAACATTAAATGACACTCTGGAAAGGTATTGAATAATTTATGTCTTATCATAGCTATTTCATGAGTATTTTATACAATTCCTTTCCACAAACTTCAAAACAATATCTAACCTTGCTTTTAAAACTAATTAACTTTGTTCTTCAATGTGTACAGTATAAGTTGCACAGCCTTATAAAAATGGAACTGGCACTTTTACACTATGTAACAAATTTCCACAGCATAAACTATTAACATTTTATATGCAGCACTACTGTCATGGAAAGGATTCAGAGGAATACCTAAACTGTGATTTCACAGCATTATCAATGAAAAATTTCTTTTGAGGTACAGAAGGGACAATACTGATGCACATCCCAGAAACAATAAAATGTAACATGCACAGAATAGAATGTTCAACATTTCTGAAATCTAAGTTTTCAACATTCCTAATTTGTTGCATTTGTTAAAATCAGGCCCCTAAAGAGAATTTATAACCTGATGATTGGCAGCTGTGACATCTGCTAGCATATAACAACTCCATGTGCGAGAAATAATGTACATTTATAAAAATTTTGCAGAAGATACATGTAGCCTTTAAAATAACTAGCAACTTCTGCACAAATTGTGGTTATGACCATAAACCACAGAAAAACATGCACAAACCCCCTACAATGAATTAGTAACCATACTAATCTAGTTTTTGGTGTTTCCACATGAGTTGAGGAGTATACTAGGTTTAATAGTATTTTAAAACTCTGAGCTCCCCATCTTCTCTAGTAGACTACTGTGAATTTTTGCCAATAAACTTTAGTTTCCTCTTGGCTTCCTACCAAGAAAGTAGACAATCTTTCGTTCCTTCCTCTCCAGCCCACATCCTCCCCTGAGCATGAATGCACCATCATGTTACTCTGCTAAAAAGCTGAAGAAAACTCAACCTTCAATAGAAGGTCATAACATTTCTTTTAACCAACTACCTGGCATAATGAAAATATCTCAGCAAATGTACCTAGGCTATGAAAAACAAAATTCTGCAGTTACCTTTTTATTGGTCACTGCTCCTGGTATAACTGGAAAAGATCCCAGTTAGAAGAAAGGCAGATGTCACTCATCACTCTGGGCCTTGATTCATTACCCAATAAATAGTTTTACAACTGAGAAGTTCTACAACAGCAGAGGGATAAACTGATTTATTCACTACATTTCACTCTTTTCAAATCACTTTTCTCCTACTTAGTCTATATACAAATGCAACCAGTACTTAACAATATATTTTTGGTTTTATTTAAAGAACAAGATTTATCCTTTTAAAATTGCAGTGGTGTGCTCATACCACAAATAGGAATAGCATTCCCATCCTAAAACATTTAAGGATAACTAAACCTAAAATGGGGCTGGTTCACTGAATGGATTTTCAGGACAAGTGACTAGGAGATTTCAGTTCCTATTTTATGCCTCCTCTAAATCCTAGGTTACACTTAACTGCTCTCTTCATTTTGCAGAAACACTTTACAAGAACAAAAACCCCTTCAAGCAAACAAAACACTGCTTACAGCTCCTTGTGAAAAGTTTGGGTTTGTTTCCCCTCCCCCCTGTTCCATCACCTCTATTTCACAAGAGGATCTTCCTTAGTAAAGCAAATTATAGAGTAGTTTTTAAGACAAGGCAATAAAACTTATATGACTCAATTTTGACACTGAACAGATTTATACTCTTACTTCCATTCTTCTGGAGGGTGGGCTAGTTCAAATTTCTCTCTCACATTGGACACCCCCATGTCCAGGTGTAGCCAGTGAACCTCCTCAGACTGCAGATGACTGAGCCGTAACCCATAGCAGGCCACATTTTTCACTTTGTGACTGTCCACAATCTTCTGAATTATGCCCTAAAACAGAGAAACATACACTCCTTACAAGCTGTAAAAATGCAGTATGTATTTTTTTTTTAATTTAAAATATTACCATGTAATACCCTACACAAAATACTAAGCAATAAATCAGATATCACCTTTATTAAAATACTAAACATGTTCAATTGTAAGCTACTGTTTCAGACAGCCATTTACAATTTCTTAAGTTCTACCAGTATGGCTTCACAAAATATCAGTAAATACATTTCCATGCATCTTATCAGGCTCATCCATGGCAGTGGGGTTGGAACTAGATGATCTTTAAGGTCCCTTCCAACCCAAACCGTTCTATCATTACATGAATTAAGCCACTATTTCCTCTACGTAAAAGAGAGTAATATAAAAGTCAAAATATAAAAAGCAGATGTGTGGACGAAAGCAAGATGTTATTTGTTTAAAAAAAAAAAAAACACCACCAGCTTGTAAAAGTCACTCTCCATCTACACCTGGAAAATCATCTTAGACTTTCATACTATTTAGTGCCCCAACAGTCAGGATTTGGTAGGTTATGTCACAATCTCTTGGTTTCCTTCTCCCTCCTTCCTCCCACTCATTTTCTCCTGAGATTCAGCAGATGCCTTATAAAATGAAGCAAGAGACAATTTCTTGGGAAGATTCTCAAACAAAATAAATGTCCTTGTTTCTCCTGAGGTAAATTTCAGAATTTAAGGATCTCTCACCCAAGAAAGGAACCTTTCAAAAAAAGATTGTTAACAGATTGCCATTTCCCTTCCATGTTCACCGTCAGGAAGATCTAACACGCGGTAACCAAAGTTCTAATTTGTTAGTAGATAGTGGATTAGCAACCTTTCAGGTGCAGCATGCCAAGCTGTCCTGCTCTTATCCAGATTAGAAAGTCAGCAGGAGATCAGAGTTGCTGCCTCACAAGTCAGTAAAGGGTCAGGCTTGTCTCTCTGCAAGGCGGCAGACCCCTGCCAGTACAGAGTTTAGAGCCCAGCAGGAGCACGGGCTATCACTGCTCCCAGACACTTCTTTCAGGAATTCACAGTCCTTTGCTTCTGACCCAGTAACGGTCTGAAAATTTCCTACTTAAAATGCTCATGTGTGAGTGTGTATATATATACATATACATACACATGCACATATATACATACAGAGGTGCACAAGCTGATGATTCTTGCTCAGAATTTCAGAAAACATCAACACGTTGCCAGTGTTAAGTACTACAGGAGCCAGACGTGGGCTACTGGAGTGAGTCAGGCAAATGTCTTTTTTACAGGATGACATTATTTCCCCAAATTTACTATTTTATATCCCAAATGTTTAAGACCCAGATTCTGCAAATTAAGCAAGCAGAGAAGTAACTGCAAAAAGAGAATTAAGGAAGCACTAAATCTGAATAGAGGGGGAAAATGACATGTGTAGGAATGGAATCATGCTGACAGTGAGCTGTTAGATGAGCTCACACATCTTATCAAACTATAACCTTTAAATAATCTTGCAGAAGCAACACCGTGCATAGTGAAATGTTAAAAAAAAAAAAAATTCTTTAGAGCCTACAAGAAGGAAACACAAGCTGTTTTTAGTAAGTTCATGCAGTCTGAGTCAGAAGAGGATCAGCACACTGACTCCAACAGCAGAGATGCTCATCATCTGCTTCAGTACCAGTAGTGCCTCCCAACACCCTTGTCTTCTTCCATGCCCAGGAGCTGAACATCCGCTAAGTCGATGGCAAGCCCGAACTTGAGGGAAGATCCTTCACAACAAACAGTGAAGCACGCAGGATGCTCATGGAAGACTGTATCAGGTGGGAAGGAGGCTTCAAAACACACAGGCGAATCGAAGTTTTCGAGTGGCACTACCAGCTGGCAGCACCACACAGACCAACCAGCAAGAGCTGAGTCCCGACAGCCAGAAGGTGCCCAGGACAAATGTCTGATGCAAATGAAAGGAACCTCTCTGCAGGTATGTTGGCAGAACCATAGTGGCCACAGATGGGTGCCGGGGGAAGAGGCAACACCAGGCAAGCACATACTACCCCTTCCGCTAAGTGCTCTCCCAGCCGCTGACTATTTTTATCCAAGTGGATTTCAAGCATTGTTTCTGTCTCATCAACCTTCAATGAAACTCTTCCAGTTACTCATCCTGTCTCTTAAAGCTGTTAACTTTTTGCAACCTTCCCCAGCAAGTTCCAAAGACCCATTATCAGGTCAGTGAACAGTTTTAAATCTGAATTGAACATATTGACCACAGGGTACAAAAATTGGTTAAGTTTGTTTCTCGCCTGTATTTAAGGGTCTTTGTATTAAATACTGCAAAGGAGAACAGTTGTCTGTATCCTGGGAAACACATAACAACCACCAAGTACTCTCAGAAGTAGAGGCACATTTAACCTCTTCTTCACCCAAAGGACAATCTCTGCTTAGTTAGTAAAGCCTAACATTTTGGCAAGCGTGCTCTCCTCCAAAGGGAACACTGCCAGCTTTTCTATATACATCCAAAGAGAAGAGATTCATTCATTTTCATCTGTTTCTGCACCCTGCATAGAGTACATAACATGCAGTGTTTGTTTTTGGAAATCCAACCCTTCCCCAGTTTCTGATGCTGTCAGTTGATAATTAAATCGGGCATACGTGTTCTTAGACAATAGTTATGCCTGCTGTGATAAGAAATAGCTTTGGAAAGAAAAATAATTAAGGCAAAATTATCTCTGACCATGACCCATCGAGAAAACTGATGCATATGGCTCAGCTGAAATCATTAGTATTTACTCAGGAAATAATCAAGCCAGACATCTCAGAACCTCTCTAATCTTCAGGTTGGGATTTCAAAAGGACTGAAGAAGGCAGATGTCTTAATTCCCACCAAAAGCGAGTGAGATTTTAAAATCTCTACCCTTTTTATGTCATAAATAAATTCTAAACCTATCGCAGAACCAAAATAAATAATAAAACCATAAATGTATTTTTATATATAAGAAGGGTACCCCATGCCTTCTGGCCAGGTGGTCAGTATCACTCCAAGAAAATAATTAGCAACAATTAGTACATATTGCAACTCAAGAAAAAGTCAACTTAAATGTAAACATTAAGGAGATAGCAGCACTGGTGCACAGGAGGTCAAGTGCAAATGTTTGAAAATACATTCTAAAAACTTATGTATGCCCAGAAAGGAAGAAGTGATGCTTTAGGCGAAACAAACACAGTAAGTGGCTTCTCTTCTTTTTTCTTTAGAAATGCCACAGAGGTCATTCCAGATGCTCACAAATCATAGCCAGAATCAAAAAGTGGAGAGATAAGGAAATGTGGTGATTAAAACACTCAAAATGGCTGGTCTGTAGGGAAAGCCTTTGAAGTAAAACATCTATTTGCTTATTTACTTTTTATTTATCAACCAGAGAAGCTGAATTTTAAACATTTTAAATTTTACACATTTAGAGCCACACCTTCAATCAACATAAACCAGCACCACAACAGTGCAGTTCATTCAGCAACATGAACTCACACCAGGGAAAGTGCAGCACATAAACAGTATAGTAAGTTCCCATGTAGCACGACAGGGTTTATTTTATCTGGCTGCTATTTCCAAACAGTACAAGATTAATCTCCAAGAGTTCTACTGGCACCACAGTCATAGTCAAGTCAGTGTATTTAACTCTGATCAGGTATGAAACAACACGTAGAGTCTCCTCGGGTTCTGGACATCCTCCACAGGCCAAGTGGAAACGCCTGGAGTGTCAAACAAAGCCACTGCCATCACTCCAGGAAGGGTGATAGCTTCTCTGTCTTTTGTAGTTACAATGTGTGGATCCTTGCCAGCTCTATGTCCTTTGTGGTAGTGATCAGAATGCTTAATCAGAAGTTTCCAGACAAACAATTTAACTGCTTAACCACTGCACAATAGTGACCAAGACATCCCGCTGAGATAAATCATGACAATCTTTTAACCACAAGCACAGCCAAAGAAATCTGAAATCTCTCCAGATGCTGCTACCACCACCACCAGTCTTTTAGCCCAGGAAGCTCCTCAGATGCATTCTTGAGTGAAAAAAAAAAAACCAAACAAACAGGTAAGGAACACCAACATGGATTACAAACTTGTGACCTCAAATTACTCACAGATAGAAATACTCATAGAAGACCGTGACTCAAGCAGAAACCTACTCCAGAACAAGATCTCACTTTGGATACCTACATGAACATAAATTTCTACGAGGAGTTCTCATGTATCTATTGTCATTCTCACAAATACCCTCCAACTGTAATGAAATCATACAATCACATCCCAGTTGAATGCTGTTTACTATAATCACACTGACTTTAATTAGGTTTCCAGAGCTAGCTTTTACATCCCAAACATAAAATAGGCTGGTACAGCTGAGCAAAAGAGAATGGAAAGCCTTTAGAGGAACATCCCATCAGTAATAGGTAAGTGATAGGCCATCCTTCCCTCCCCTTAACCCAGAAGTAAGAAAAAAAAGCTTTTTCAGTAGCTAGAAAATTGGATTGCATTCATTTGTACCTATTTATCTGAAGAATCCAGATATATTCAACATATCTCATTTGAAAAATAGATTAATATTTATCCTAAATTAAGAGAATATGTCCAAAAATAGAATTTACGGTACAGTATATTTAGGAGGCTGCTGAAAAATCACAACAGACCAGAGAAAGGCCAAAAGGCACAGGCTACCCTAGGCTCTCTCTTTATGTATCAGTAATACCTTGTGCTTCTATAAATGAGTGAAAATGAATTGCTTGCTTGTAAATTAACAAAGCTGATGTGCTACTATGAATAAATTGAAGTTGGAATAATATACTCCCAGTGTGACTAAATTTCCCTATTTAGTAGGAAGGAGAAAGCGTCTTGCACTAGAAAAAGTCTTTAAGCAGCACCTCTGACATAGGGACACGGTGTTAATGTTTGTGAAGCACTTCAAATATGTCAAATGCTATTTATATATCAAGTATTATAACTCCTGATGAGATTTATATGGGGAGTTTAAATGAAAAGCG